TGACTAAAGTTTCATCTTAAATTTAAGAATTCTATTCCAAATCAGACTATTTCCGTTTAATTCTTTCGGTAATTCGCCTGATGACGACGACTATAAGTTCGTCGAAAGTACTAGCGATTAAAAAAACACACGCATAACGCCGACCTCAGTGCCTTCTCTTTTTACAATATAGTATTTTGGCGAGATCGTCAGCATATTGATCATGTGCTGCTCTACTGTTACAACAAGCATTTCTTCTACTCAACAAATTACTTTTATTATTTTTAAAGCCCTACAATGGATCAATGATTAAAAAGGATTAGTAAAGCAACAACATCCAAAGAAGATACAGAAAAAGGTTAACTTGCAAAGGAATGACCTGTAACTACTAGTTCAAAAAACACGGAATATGTTTCCTCTTGTTTTGAATGGCAGCCAGGCAAAAAGAAACGCAAGTATGATCCTCAGAATTTGTCATATGGCTTTACTAGTACTGGTGATGAAGAAGCCCCAGATGCCATTTGTATACTTTGTTACACAAGATTAGCTAACAGATCATTGGCACCATCAAAGTTGCAAAGACACAGAGACCAGGCATAGTGTCTATAAAAATAAGGATATATCTTTTTTGAAAGGAAATGTGAAAGTTTCAATAAAACTACAAGTTTCATGGTGAAGAAATGCAGAACAGACAACGAAAATGCAACTGAAGTGTCATATAAAGCATCTTACTATATTTCTCTTCATGGCAAAGCACACACTATTGGTTAATCATTGATAAAACCTATATTGAAAGATGTAGTTTCATGTATATTTAATGAAAAGTCTGCTCAAAAGGTTGAATCTATATCTCTATTTAATGATACGGTGTCAAGGCGTATTGCTGATATTTCTGATGACATTGAAACCAAACTTATTTCACAATTGCATGCATGTTATGCTTATGCATTGCAAATGGATGAGTCTACAGATGTGGCTGGACTGGCAATTCTACTTGTGTTCATTAGATATGACTTCAATAAAACAATTGAGAACAATTTGCTTTTCTGTAAAAGTTTAGAGCTTCATACCACAAGAAAAGATATATCTGATTGTGTTGATAATTATATAGCAAATCATGATATTGGTTGGGATAAATGCATTTCACAGTGTGCACTGATGGAGCAAAGGCTATGAAGGGAAAATTATCTGGTGCTTAAAAATGTTGTAAAAAACTGCAGCAGTAATCACTGCATTCTTCACAGATACACATTAGTGACAAAAACAATTTCTGCTTCATTACAGTTAGTTTTGGAGGAAGCTGTGCAAATTATCAATTTTATTAGGACTCTGCCATTACAATCAAGAGTATTTAAAGCTTTATACGAAGATATGGATAGCCATCAAATGACTCTTCTTTTACACACAGAAGTAAGCTGGCTTTCAAGAGGAAATGTGCTTGTGAGAATGGTTGAATTGATAAAAGAATTGTAGTTTTACTTTCTTGAACATAAATTTAATTTGTCTGACAAATTAAGAAATAATGTATGGTATGCAAAACTTACATATTTAGCAGATGTTTTTTCAAAGTTGAATGAAACATGCCTAGCTCTACAAAGAAAGGAAACAAACATTTTTCGAACTCAAGATAATATGATAGCTTTATCTTGAAATTACAGTACTGGATTTCAGAAGTAGAACATGATAATTTTGACTGTTTTCCACTTCTTACTAAATTTCTACAAGAGTCTGAAATGGAATTGGACGCAGAGACACTCAATGAAATTAAAGATTATATCAACAGCTTATCCACATCTCTTACTGAGTATTTTCCTAACTTGGAGTACAAAGATTATTATTGAGTACAAAATTCATTCACAGTAACAAAAAAACCAACAGGATTCTGTCAGTGGATTATGAGAAATTAATGAAAATTACATCCAATACTCAAAGGCTAAATTTGAAGAAGTGCCGTTAGATGTATTCTGGGGGAATCTACTTGAAGAATATCCTGAAATATCCAAACAGGTCATAAAAATACTTTTGCCCTTTACGATAACATATTGGTGTGAATCAGGATTTTCAAGATATGCTAGCACGAAAACTAAGTATCGAAGAAGACTGGATGCCGCCCCAGATATGAGAATCCAGTTATCAAGTACAAAACCAAATTTCCAGAGGATACTTATGTCAAAAAAAAAAAAAAAAAAAAAACAGACGCATTTGTGAAATTCGCAATTTTAACGCAGTTGTCGGGAAAAAAGAGTTGTAAACAACTCCAATAAAAAAAAAACACTCATAGTGAGAATTATACTGGAGGTCACTGTTTGTTATCACAATTAGGTGGGAAAGTTGACACATAGGTGTCAAGAACGTTAATGCCAACAGATGACGATCATGTGACTCCTTTCCCACAACAAACGTATAAAAGCTCGAGCCCCCGGAAGCTCAGGGCAATCCAAAGGAAGTTATACTTGTCAATGTGTGCATCTCGTCTCCTGGACCTCCATACAGTGAACGAAGACATCAGTAGAACACAGACCACAGCTTCAAACTTCCATACTTATCGCCATACTACAGTTCCTGTGCCGACTACGATTCCTATGAACCATTCAATGCATATCATTCATTTCCTCATAGAGGTATTGTTGTTAGAGCATTGTGAACTCTCTCTCCGAGAATAAGCTTAGCTGCTAAGAGCTGTCCCTTTGTATATTTATCTCATATTTAACCGCTTTTAAACTTATTATTATTATTGCCTCTTGTAACCTAGCTTAGTTATGCTTGTTTATTTTGTTAAACCTGTCTATCATTGTTCTAAGGACGCCTGCCGGCTTACCGACGCACTCCCCACTCACTTTTTGCCCTCCTAGCCATCTGATGACTCCGAGACCAGGTTTTACCAGCATGTGCAGTGTAAGTGGTCAGGAGGGATTAACCCCTGGCCCTTTGCTGTCTCACACATTCATCTCACTAAAACTTGATATTCCAATTTATGGTAAGCGTGTTTCAAATAAAATATTTCTTTTATTATAATAAGTATTAATTTAAATAAGGGTTCCATTATATTACNACTAACTTGTTCAATATATTATTAAAAAAAAATTTTTTTAAACTTTGCATCAACTTTACAAAATAAAGGACAAAATGCTTATTTTAGAAAATAAATAAAGTTAAAGGACAGAGCAGTGAAATAAAGGACTGTCCTCTTAAATAAAGGACGTATGGTCACTGTAAGTATAGGAGACTATCTTATAATATTCTTCCTGTGCAAGGCACAAGAAGAATATGACAAGATGTAAATTAAATAGACATATTCAAACCCATTTTCAGTTTCTTAAAGTCGTAATTTGGTTGTGTTCTTTTGTATGTATAACTTTGCTTATGCATTAACAAACTTATTTTTGTTCCAAATATGGACTTCATAGTTATTTAACTTACTTGATGATGATTTATGCTTTTTCATTATAAAACATTTTGGGAGAGTCCTCTCAAAGTTCATTATAACAAGATTCCAATGTGTGTAAATTATTATTTTGCACATCAATTCTAGATTAATAAACGAAAACTAAAATCAAATTCATATTTTAATACTAAAAACTATTTTGCAGTATGTACTAATATTTTAATTTCATCTCAAAAATTTATTCAAGTATATTACTATTTACAAAAGAACAGTATTAGACATAACTGATTCCTTTTCAACAAAAATTAATTCACACAAATATTTGAGAGTAAGAAGCCTGCTTTTGGAATTTGAAAGCATTTACCTCTAAACTGGATTTTTTAGAACAGAAAACAGTTCATTTTTATCAGTATTATTTTCTTAATGCTATGAAATATTTTGTCATGTTTCTGTCAATATTCATATACACATATTTTGAACAATTTTTAGTATAAATGCAGAGACTGAATTACAGTAGAACGTCATTTACCCGAAAGCCAGTCAACTGAAAGCATTCCAGTTGGCAAATTTAAATTTTCACTAGTGCTGCGGTGCTGCAACCTTTGGCTATGTCTTGGGCTACTCCAATATTTTTTTTGTTGGTGTGTGTGTGTTTTACTGGCACTTTTGTGTGGTGTTTTTCTGAGGGCTGTGTGTCATGACATGTCATGCTGAATCTAACATTTTTGATACTAGATTAACTTCTAAAATATAATTTTTTTTTGTTTTTACATTTTTCAATATATTTATTTTGTTTGTTCAAAATAAAGAAATAATTTTTAACAACACAATAGCCACAATTATTATAATAAAATTTCCATTAGGTCTAACATCAACGAAAATTCAACGCAAAGCGACACGCAACGGAGAAAAATTCCAACATGGGGTAGGTTAATATATTTTTTTGTACATAATCAGTTATCTGAACAATCCCAGTCCCCAATTGATTCGGATAAATGACACTCTATTGTATATAGTATCTGCAAATAAAAATCTTTTTTCTTAAGTTTATGTTTGATATCATAAGATATATGAGTTACATGAACATTAGATATACAAGAACATTACTTATTACATTCACATTCTGTTTTATATAATAAGTAATGTTCAAAATCAGCTAGCACAAATACAAACTGCAAAAAATATAAATATTGCAATTCTTATATATTCTAACATTTTAGTAATGTTTTTAGTCACTTTTTTATTTATAGATTAAAATTATATAAACAAATCATATGTTCATGTATATAACCAGTATGATATTTGCAATTGGTTCAGCAGTATTTTATTTTAACTACAATTTTACTATCATAATACATGAGCTGGAATGAGTAACTTACTAAAAATACATCTTTCATACACACATTTCCAGCACAGAAATTCTCAGTCAGCATTCAAAAACAGCAATTTTAACCTGAAGCAGGCCTTTGAAAGAGGCCAAAATGTTTGTGATAATAAAACTTTGTACTGGAAATATGCAAAAGGTGTCTTTTTAGTAAATATAATTTTACTTTTCACACTCATAAGCTATCTGTAAACTGGCATTTTAGTACTTTTGTATGAATTTATTCAAGTTAAGTACAATATATATACTAACCTGTATTCTAATTGAATAAGAGGCAGACTGGATTATCTTCACTACATTTTTCTCAATATTAACATTTGAGGATAATGCAAGTTGTCATCATAAATATCTGACTGAGTTTCTTTAAGCTGATAAATAAGGAAATTATTTAGATATATAAATATAACTTATCATTATTAAATTTATGTTAAGTAAGTGTTTAAACTATATATTCAAAAATTGCAACATTGGAATATATAGTTTAAACCAGGTAAAATTATGTAAATAAAAAAAATAAATTAACAGTGAAAAGTGAAAGCATTATTTAATAAAAATTTTTAAATTTCAAATAATTTATGCATTCAATCAATAACTACCTGAAATCTAGTCTTAAGCTTCACATAAATAATATGCATTATTATAATACTAGCAGTTGAGCCTGGCATTGTTCGGATGAAAAGTAATGATAGCAAAGATTAAGATTATTAGATTATAGCCAATCTTACCCGTTTTCACAGAGTGAAAGAATTAGGTCCCCCCTATTCTGAGACTAATTAGAAAATTTTAGATATCTGCTTACCACAACAGGATAATTATAATTAAGACTCACTGCAACCACTAACCAATGCATAATACCACTAACAAGGGAACTGTCGGAGTGTCTTCTAATAGTTATTAATTAAATTTTATTAAAATTTAAGTTAAAAGTATACAAGCTCTATTTTAAATTTGTAGCATTCACTAAAAGTGTTGGTGAGAGTTATTAGCAATCAAATGTTGCACTACTTTATAGTAGTTTAACACAGTTATGCAAATTTTTAGAAGTGAAAGGGTCGCGGAAGAAGACGGCGATATTACATTTAGAATAAATTCTGGAATTTTCAAAAATAGGAGAAGAATGAATAAAATTTAGTTAATAATTACGTTAAAAGTATACAAAATTTTATTAATTCTTCAACCATTTTTGAAAATTCCAGAATTTATTCTAAATGTAATATTGCCGTCTTCCTCCGCAACCCTTTCACTTCTAAAAATTTGCATAACTGTGTTAAACTACTATAAAGTAGTGCAACATTTGATTGCTAATAACTCTCATCAACACTTTTAGTGAATGCTACAAATTTAAAATAGAGTTTGTATACTTTTAACTTAGTTATTAACTAAATTTTATTAAAATTTATTAGAAGACACTCCGACAGTTCCCTTGTAAGTGATAAATAATAAATGTCTTAACTCTTTCTGGGTTCTTCTTCAGGTTTAATAAATTCAAAAAATAAGCTGGATCTTCCAGAATCATTCATAAATATAAATTCAAACAAAATTGAACATTAAGACGAAGAGTTCAAATAAAGCAAACTTATGCGCATGCGCTCCCCACGTCAACTTTAAATACAATGGAACACTAAATATCGTTGAAAATTTTTAGAAAGGTCTAAAAATATGTTTGATTTCCTGCATAAATGCAAAAAAGACATCTAAAATAGTACAGTAGAAGCCAGAGTTCTTCAGAGTAATCCTTAACACACACTCTCTCTCTCCTGTGGTGAGAATTTCAAAAAAAACCCTTTCTTAATGTGGATTCTCATGGCATACCCTATTAAAACGCAATCAAAAATGCAAAAAACTGCATCTAAAATAGTATAATAGAAGCAGAGTTCTTCATGGTAAGCCTTAATCCCGTCCCTCTCCCCTGCGGAGGGGGATTTCAAAAAATCCCTTCTTAGTGTACGTTCTCATGACATACCCTAACCGTGTACCAAATTTAAACTTTCAACTCCTAACCGTTTGGGCTCTGTGCTTATTATCATCATTATCACCCCATCTCAATTATATTATAAGATAATGTATATTATTTAATTTATTATTATTATTGTAGTATAAAACTGATATCAATATGCACAATGGTTTAAAGAAGATTATTTTATAGTCTAACACTAATAAATTTCTAAATTTCTTCTATATTTACACTTTTTGGCAATTTTTTAATATTGCACAATTTATTTATGAGATTTTATTCCTAAAATTCTTTTAAAAACTTCAGGAGGTAACAATACATATGATAACGTGATAAAGAAGGACTATTTTTATAAAACTAGTTTGGAAAGAGATAGACTGATATAATCAGTTTTAAAAAAGTATTAAAACTAATTTATTTTAAATCACATATTCACTTTTAATGTAATAATCATTTAGAGTGACAGTCTTCTAAATTTGCAATCCATTTTTGTATTCTATGCATGAAAAAAACTAAGCTTTCCTTGGTCCAATCCAACAATTTGAACTTCAGCATCCAAACAGTCAGGATTTTGGAACAACCAGAAGCCTAATGATGATACAGATACTTTAAGGAGGATGCAGAAAAAACCTGTAACTTCAGCTTCTTAATGACCCTATTCACAGTCAAGGATCAAGAGTTAGAGTTAGAAGTTGACCAATTACCATTCACTTTACTTTTAGTACATGAACACTTATTGCTTAACTTTAACTCTTAATCCTCAGTTGTGAATATAACCATAAATGTCTTAATTGTTTCCTTTCTGCAGTGTATTATTACAATGCAAAAGAAAAAAAAACTGTTCTTTCTGGCTTTACACTGCAAATATATGAAGAGTGCATAGGTGTATAGGTTTGCAATACTTCACTGTACTGACTGCTTTTTCCTTTACCAGATGTAAACAGTTCCCTTTCCATCCTAAGAAATTGTCAGAATTACCTCCCGAGCAGAGAGAACAGCTTTAAATTTCAGTTAATGGATGGAGAATAATGATGTCAATACTACATTGACAGTCTCTTATTCTCTGGGTCTGGTTGTACCCAAAAATAGTACTGGTGTTGAAAAATTAACACTTTTCACTGAATGCCAAAGTGCAGCCTGTTTTATGGAAATGAGCCAAGGAAAAACAAAAAACTTGTACAAAATAATGTAAAAACTGACTCAACATTTGGTTTGTTTGTTTAGTTATGGCAATGCAACACTTAAGCGATCTGCCTAGGGGGATGCCTTCTGGGAGATCTTTTTAAGGGAAACTGCCCCTATTTAGGCATTATAGACATGGAGAAAACCCGGAAAACTCCACATGGCCAGCCCAGTCAATCGAGGAGCAAACCTACAACTGAACTCCCAGTGTTTAGAAAATGAAGACTACTTGGCCATTGGCAGGCCCTCAACATTTGGAAAAATGTGTAATTGTAAATTATTATTAAGTTGAAAAATGAATATGGTATGATTACATTAAACCATTAACTTTACTACTTTCTACAACTAGTCATATCATTCTCTCTCTTTCCAAACTAATTTTATAAGCATTTATCTATCAATCCTTGAAATGGATAAAAATAACAAAGTTGTAATAACTTATTCCAAAATTGAGAATGAGAAATCTATAACAATTATATAAATAATAAATTGCAAACTAGAATATAATGTAATAATTACATAATTGCAATATGCATTCTTTTTTATCACACTTAACAGAATATGATAAATTTTGTATTAAATATTTTTAAGATAAAACATATAATGAATGTACTGTACAAATTGAAATTGAAAGATACTAACCACAGGTACTAGAATTTACCTCTATGCCTAACAAATAATCATTGTTTCTTACCTTAACATGCAGTTCCCATACATATGTATCGTAAGCCATCAATCTTTCGATATAAAATCTCTGTTGAGCCAAATCAACAAACTGTTGGAATGTTCTACCACGTGGAGGTGCCAATATTACAGCTAACCCCTAAAAAAATATAAAGTAAAATTTTATTTAAAACTTCAACTAAAAATATATAATTTACACTATTTACCAAATTTTCTGGTATATTATAATCAAAGATATTGTTATCAGTTTTTTAATGTTATCAGAATTAGCATGTCCTAAAGCATAAATTAAAATAAATACAGGTATACCTCGCCTTATGTCGGTAATTGGTTCCAGGAGAATGACTTAAGTCAAAAAATGACGTAAGTCGAATTTACTTGTCTCTGAATCTACTTGCCACTAGGCTAAACCATAAATTACCAATTCCCGTTCTGTATTTTATTTATTAATGCATTTTTAATAATATATGGTTAATAAGGATCTATTTTAAGCTTACAAACAAATAAATTTTAGTTTTTAATATAGTACAGAAAAAAGTAATTTAAATTTACGAATGCATGTACTGTAAATACAGTA